AAATAAAAGAAAACTTAGAGTGCGCGAGATAATAACGTAACAATCGATAATAAAAGAAAACTTAGAGTGCGCGAGATAATAACGTAACAATCGATTATAAAAGAAAACTTAGAATGCGCGAGATAATAACGTAACAATCGATTACAAGAGGAAATTTAGAATGCGCGAAATGCTAACATAGGAATCGATTAGAAAAGGAACTAAAAATGTGCGAGATACTGACGTAACAATAGATTAAAAGAGAAAACTGAGAATGCGCGATATAGTAACGTAACAATCGATTAAAAGAGAAAACTGAGAATGCACGAGATACTAACGTAACAATCCATTAAAAACTGAGAATGTGCGAGATACGAACGTAACAATCGATTACAAGAAAAAAGTTAAATGCACGAGATACTAACGTGGAAATCATTTACAAGAGAAAACTTAGAATGCGCGAGATGCTAACGTAGGAATCAATTAAAAAAAAGAACTAAAAATTCGCGAGATACTAGCGTAACAATGGATTAAAAGAAAAAATTTTAAATGTGCGAGATACTGACGTAACAATCGATTATAAGAGAAAACTGAGAATGCACGAGATACTAAAGTTACAATCGATTAAAAGAGAAAATTGAGAACGAGCGAGATACTAAAGTTACAATCGATTAAAAGAGAAAACTGAGAATGCGCGAGGTTCTAACGTATCAATCAATAATAAAAGAAAACTTAGCATGTGCGAGATACTAAATTATCAATAGATTATAAGAGAAAACTTAGAATGCGCGAGATGCTAACGTAGCAATCGATCAGAAAAGGAACTAAAAATGCGAGAGATACTAGCGTAACAATCGATTAAAAGAAAGAACTTAGAATGTGTGAGATACTAACTTAACAATAGATTATAAGAGAAAACTGAGAATGCACGAGATACTAAAGTTACAATCGATTAAAAGAGAAATCTGAGAACGCGCGAAATACTAAAGTTACAATCGATTAAAAGAGAACACGGAGAATGCACGAGGTTCCAACGTACCAATCAATAATAAAAGAAAGCTTAGAGTGCGCGAGATACTAACGTAGAAATTGATTACAGGATAAAACTTAGAATGCGCGAGATACTGACAAAACAATAGATTAAAAATAGAAAACTGAGAATGTGCGAGACACTAACGTAACAATAGACAAGAGAAAACTGAGAATGCGCGAAATACTAAAGTAACAATCGATTAAAAGAGGAAACCGAGAATGCACGAGGTTCTAGCGTATCAATCGACGATAACTGAAAACTTAGAGTGCGCGAGAAACTAACGTAGAAATCGATTGCAAGAGAAAACACAGAATGCGCGAGATTCTAACGTAGGAACCGATTGAAAAAGGAACTAGAATTGCGCGAGATACTGACGTAACAATAGATTAAAAGAGAAAACTGAGAATGCGCGAGATGCTAACGTAACAATCCATTAAAAGAGAAAACTAAGAATGTGCGAGATACTAACACAACAATCGATTACAAGAAAAAGTTAAATGCACGAGATATTAACGTGGAAATCATTTACAAGAGAAACCTTTGAATGCACGAGATGCTAACGTAGGAATCAGTTAGAAAAAGAACTAAAAATTCGCGAGATACTAACGTAACCATCAATTTAAAGAGTAAGCCTAGAATGTGCGAAATACTAACGTAAGAATAGACTAAAAGAGAAAACTGAGAATGCACGAGATACTAAAGTTACAATCGATTAAAAGAGAAAACCGAGAATGCGCGAGGTTCTAACGTTTCAATCGATATTAAAAGAAAACTTAGAATGTGCGAGATACTAAAGTAACAATAGATTATAAGAGAAAACTTAGAATGCGCCAGATGCTAACGTAGCAATCGATCAGAAAAGGAACTAACAATGCGCGAGATACTAGCGTAACAATCGATTAAAAGAAAAACCTTAGAATGTGCGAGATAATTAACTAACGTCAAATCAATTGAAAGAGAAAACTGATAATGCCTGAGATACTAACGCAACAATCCATTAGAAGAGTGAGAATGCGAGAGGTCCTAACGTAACAATAGATTAAAAAAGAAAACTAACAATGCGCGAGATACTTAAGTTACAATCGATTAGGAGACAAAACTGAGAATGCGCGAGATACTAACGTAGGAATCAATTACAAAAGAAAACTTAGAATGCGCGAGATGCTACCGTAGTAATCGATTGGAAAAGGAACTAAAAATGCGCGAGGTACTAACGTAACAATCGATTAGAAGAACAAACAAAGAATGCGCGAGATACCAACGTAACAATAAATTAAAAGAGCAAAATGAAAATGCCCGAGATACTAAAGTTACAATCGATTAGAAGAGAAAACTGAGAATGCGCGAGGTTATGACGTATCAATCGATAACAACAAATTGAAAACAACAGAAAACTTAGAATGCGAGAGATACTAACGTAGGAATCGATTAGAAAAGAAACTGAGAATGCGCGAGATACTAACGTAACAATCGATTAAAAGAGAAAACTGAGAATGCGCGAGATACTAACGTAACAATCGATTAGAAAAGAAAAGTGAGAATGCACGTGATGCTAACGTAATCATCGATGAATAGGAAAACTAAGAATACAAGAGATCCTAACCTAACAATCGATTAGAAGAGAAAAGTAAGAACGCATATGATCCTAGCATAACAAAATATTAGAGGAGAAAACTGAAAATGCGCAAGATACTAACGTAACAATCCATTAGAAGAGAAAAGTGAGAATGCACGTGATGCTAACGTAATCATCGATGTATAGGAAAACTAAGAATACGAGAGATCCTAACCTAAAAATCAATTAGAAGAGAAAAGTAAGAATGCATATGATCCTAGCATAACAAAAGATTAAAAGAGAAAACTGAGAATGTGCGAAAAACTAACATAACAATCTATTAAAACTGAGAGGAAACTGAGAATGCGGAGATACAAACGTAACACTCGATTAAAAAAGGAAACTGAGAATGTGCGAAATACTAATGGCACAATCGATCAAAAGAGAAAACTTAGAATGCCCGAGATACTAACGTAACAGTCGATTAAAAGAGGAAACTGAGAATGCACGAGATACTAACGTAACAAGCGATTAAAGGAAGAAACTGAGAATGTGCGAGATACTTACGTAACAATCGATTAAAAGAGGAAACTAAGAATGCGCGAGATACTAACGGAACAATCGATTAAAAGAGGAAACTGAGAATGTGCGAGATACGTAACAATCGATTAAAAGAGGAAACTGAGAATGCGCGAGCTACTTATGGAACAATCGATGAAAAGAGGAAACTGAGAATGTGCGAGATACTAACAGAACAGGCGATTAGAAGAGAAAACTGAGAATGTGCGAAATACTAATGGCACAATTGATCAAAAGAGAAAACTTAGAATGCGCGAGATACTTTAAACGCAAGAATCGATGCTAAAGAAAACTAAGAATGTGCGAAATATTCACGTTTCAACCGATGCATCTCATATATTATGTTGGACATGCCAAATCAGAAAGTTAGGCGGATGATAAAAATTATGCTCTTCATGTTATACAATGCAGGATAACTGAAATGTTTGGTGTGATTTTAGAAGTAAAGCTGCACAGTATTGTGTTAACGAATAAGTAAGCTTTGGTAGTAAATGTCCTGGTTACGTAATTACATCAAACACTATTAGTAAATGTCCCTACATTGTTGTAGCTTAATAATTAGGCTTTTAAGATTTTGTAACCTGTGTTGCTAATTTGAATAAAACCTTTTCCTGTGTGTGTTCATTTGATCATGTCATTTAATTTCTTAATTTTTGTTTTTTTTGGAAGGGGGGGGGGGAAATTGTTGATTATGCTTCTCTGTCTCTCTTTTTACACAATTATTTACTTTCCTGCAAGTCTGAGGCAAAAGAACTGCAGCTGCACAACACATTATTCACAGCATTACAATAAAAGTTTTCAAAGTCATAAACTCCATATTACAAAGTAAATTCTGACTGGCTACTTGCATGTGCTAAAATACCCAAGCTCTGTGAAAACCTAACTACTCCTATAATATATTATTCTGGTGATGTTGATTATCTTCAATTTAACATCTTTGTGTGTACCATGAGAGGGGATCAACACAGTTAATTGACAATTCTTCCATATGAACATTCTTCTGCAAAGTGAATTTTCTGAGCACAAGTTTGTGGATAGAACTACTGACTCCTGTTCATAAAAATTCCCACAAAACATCCAGAAATGTAGGATATGTGTAAAGCCAAAAATATTTCATTTGGAGCTCTAGGTTCCTTTCCTAAGTTTTGATTTGATCTCAAAAATTGGCGTAGTTGACAAAACATTACACATTTACCTTTTGCATTTTGTCCATGGGTTCCAAATCACTGGTTTGCCACTTGTTCTTTTGAAAAGGCTATCTAAGATCCAAGGGGTCCACCGTTCATGAAGATTCATGAAGAGATGTCCATGGGCCACCATCCCAAGCTCGTTCATAGGCTACCTTCCCAAGCTTATCATAAGGGCCACCTTCCAAGGTTTGTCCACAGGCCATCTCCTAATGATTGCCCAAAGGGTAGGTACCAAGGATTTTCCACAGGTCACCTTGCATGGCTTGTCTGTCACAGGCCAACTTTCAAAGCTTGTCCATAGCAGACCACCTTCCAAGGCTTGTCCACCACAGGCCACTTTCCAAGACTTGTCCACTGCAGACCACCTTCCAAGGCTTGCCCACCACAGGCCACTTTCCAAGGATTGTCCACCACAGGCCATCTTAAAAAAAAAAAAAGATCACCAACTTAAGAACCTCTTCTTTGTTAAACAAATTCTTTGTGTCAGCAACTTAGGAAATGTATAGAAAACAGTATGGAGAACATGAATATTGATGATGAGATGTAAAATGCCTGTGCTACAAATGAGTAGCACAGGCTAATAGATAGTGTAGGGGATGGGGTGCAAATTGACTTTCCTGTGAAGGTCAGACTGTTTTTGTCATGGACCCCAAGGACTCATATCTTGACAGGGGAGTCAATTTCACCTTGCCAACAATGTAGGCCATAAAAATTGAGTATTTCTTTTTGTAGAGCAGCCTTTAGCCTGACATGAGAAAAATTAAGGAAACCAAGACTTGACTTGATTCTATTTGGCATTGTGTATTAATTACAAAATAGAAAATTTATATTTTTGTAGTTCATTATATATTCTTTTATTATTCAACTACACCTAGACGAGTACAAATAACGCCATAGACAAGTACAAATATCACGCGGTATTTGTACATGTCTATTGTAGAGTACCGGTTAAACAGGTTTTCTTGCATCGCGCAAGTGAAGAATTGGATGGTAGTTACGAAAAAAAAAAACAAATGGCAGACAATTTGAAACATATTTCCGACGACGAAGAGTCAGAATGGCTGGCAAATATAGATCCAACTTCATTAGATGAATCGAACGAAGAAAAACAGCTTGATGACCAGAAAATTTCTTCAATTAATGAAGAAAATCAAAACAGCAACACAACAACGCGCCAATTCCGTTCCGCTTCGCATACTTCTGTCATGCACTCCCCGTAAA